GCCTCACGTTACCACTCACGTTCCGAAGAGAGTCGCAGTTACTCCCGCCCACCGGACGGTTATCAGCTTGTTTAATCACCTGAAGCTACTTTAAGACCAACTATGTAAGCCACAAACATCCCCTGTGGGACTAGATGACTGCCACATAGCCTCAAACACATACAATTCACTACGATCTTTGGGTTCTTCCTCGGGTTCTTCAGATGTTATGTTTCTTCAGACCTATCTTTCTCTTAGAATTCTTCGTCGGATGCCTTTGGCAGTTGAGATTTTTTTAAATCTTCAAACCCTTCACATACTTCGAATGCTTCAAATTTATCGGATTATTTGATTTTTTTGATATTTCAAGGTTCTTCCTTTTCTTCTCTTGTTGGGGTTAGAAGACTTCGTCATATTTTTACTTTTTGAGTCCAAATTACAAATTGCACACATCTAATGAAAGATCAACTGAAACACTTAATTTTTGAAAGCTAGGGTTCGCCCCCCCCCCCCCCCCCCCCGCACACATTTTCGAAATCGTTTGTTTACACACTTGAAAATTCGACTGTTCCTTCAGATTGATTAGTAGTTTCACGTTGTACTTTAAAATAGGAGAGCGAGTCACGCTTTCTTCTTCGTTAAGCCCTTTTGCCTAGAACTTACGTCCTTCGCAGCACTTGGCCCTTCCGCACAAGGAGGAAGGTTACCGGCGACAGCCGCTCTGCTCGGAACTATGACTCGTGTCAAACTTATCGTGTGCACCACTACGATAGGAGGACTTTCACGTAATTTCTTTGATGTAATAAGCCTCACGTTATCGCTCGGGATTATAACGATAGTCATAGTTACTCCCGCCCACAAGGCGGTCATCACTCATCAGCCTGTTTAATGACCTGAAGCTACTCTAAGAACAAGTAAGGAAGTCACAAACATCTCTAGGGGATTAGGTGGCTGCCACATACCCTCAAACACATACAATACGCTCATTGGGTTTTTCAGATATTATGTTTCTTCAGACTTATCTTTTTCTGAGAATTATTCGCCGGATTCGTTCAGTTGAGATTCTCGGAGAGTTTATCAGATTATTTGATTTTTTTTATGTTTCAGGTTCTTCCTTTTCTTCTCTTGCTTTCGTTTCTTTCGAGGTTTCTTTAGACACTTGAAGATTCAGCTGTTCCTTCAGATTGGTAAGTTTCATGTTGTACGTTAAGATAGGATTGCGCGCCACGCTTTCTCTTTCGTTAGGCCCTTTTGCCTAGTATGTAAGTCCTCGTAGCACTTGAGCCTCTCACACAAGGAGGAAGTTACCGGCGACAACCACAGGGAAGGTATCTGCTCGGAACTATAACTCGTGCCAAAACTTAAGTTTTCTTTGGTGCAATAAGCCACGGGCTCCAAAGAGAGTCATAGTTACTCCCGCCCACAGGATGGACATCAGCGTGTTTAATGACCCGAAGCTCCTGTAAGAACAAGTAAGGAAGTCACCGAGGAAGTCACAGACGTCCCTGGAACACATACAATGCGCTCTTTGGTTTCTTGAGATTTATCTTTTTCGTTTCTTGGGATGTTTCAGAGTATACTGAGGGTTCCCAATCTTCATGTGTACATTCTGTGGATAGTCATCTCCGATCTTCAAATTTTTGAAATTCTTCAGATTCTGATCCTTCAGATGTTTTTACTTCGCAGAATTCTTTTGATTCTTGAAATCGTAAAATAGTCCAAGTGCCACCTTACATTTTTGCACCTTAAAAGGCATATTCAGAAAGATGAAAAAGATTCTAAAATTTCTTTTAAAACACTCTTACAAGAATCGGCTTCCTACTAACGCGCCTTTTAATTATTCGCCATAATTGCCTACGCGGCGTACTCATCTCTTTCCTTCTGACGTTCCGCTACACCACCCCCTTCTTATGGATGCTGCATCTCGCGACAGATCTAGATTGTTTGATTCCTATGGTGATGTCGACATTCATTACCTTTGGTGGAGGAAGAAAAGCCGGTATCGCCAAACATCATTCCCAAAGAGAACACTTGCCACAAAGATCAATGAAGTAGTATTTTTGCTGATTCCGCGAAAAAATGGACGAGATTAGTATTTCTGTTTAAAATACGAGATTGCATTTTTTTAGAATTGTTCTATTTATAACCACACGAGATCTAAAGTTCACGATAAGAGTCAGGGATATCTCGAAGTCTTTCACGGTAGCTGCCAAAAACCTTTGGTCAATGCCAGCTATTTTTTTTTATTACAATTTGTGATATGTTTATTTGTATGCAGTTTCTATTTTTCACTCTCTTACGTTTAGATTTGTGCTCCAAATAAAATACATCCCAACATTAATTCAACCATAACAACAAATGACGTTCTATAAAAAAAATGTCAGAAAACCCATGCAATTTTTTTAGCAATTGCACCCAAAATAGTTCTACAGTTAGCTACAGATTAAAATAATAATTATCTTCAAAAATCCCGACCTAAGAAGTTTCTCAAATGATAATTTTACTTAATATTGTTGTGTAAACTGTAGGGGGTATCGCTTCTCTAGGTTGAAATAATGCAGAGAATATGAGCGAGCCACCCTGTGGTTGAAAATTTACGTGATGTGAACATCTTGTACCTCGTCTTGTACAATGTTATTAATTTATTTGTTTAGGACCTGAGGGAATCTGTCAAATGGACACAGAATTTGAGGATTTTATTTAATAGCAATGCAATCCTTAGTTTTTGTATCGTAAATTTAGAATTTGTGTAAGTTATTTACGGGTTGTGGTTGTATTTAATGAGTGTCATAAATAAGGAAACATGTAATTTGAAATCGACGTAAGAAGACAAAATGAAACACGATGCATTATAAAATAAACATAGCAGAATAATTTACAAATTACGGCTGTTATTATTTTATAATGCATCGTGTTTCATTTGTTTAATTTTCCAAGGCCTACCTAAAAGTGTAGAGTCCTTTTCCAAACAATCTTTCGCGCCATCGACAAATACCGGAAATTCTTCAAGATACAATTTAAGCGTTTTTATTAATTAATTAATTAATCTCATTTTGCCAATATTTGAGGTTAGGAACAATATTTTGAAAAACGGTTTTCACTGGCCTCTTTGGATGTTATTTGGCTACTTTTTCATAAAGAAAAAGTCATATCATTCCATTTGATTTCTTTAGGATTTTGAGTCATAGTGTCAAAACTAGCCCCCTGGCGGAAAAGGATTCAATTAAATTAACTATATTGATATTGATTCTCGTTGCCCAAGGAATGCTCTTTTCAACCATACCAAATTCATTAAAATCGGTCAAACGGAAGAAGTTAGAGCAAAAGCAATTGAACGCCCCACATACCATCTTTGTTTTTGAAATAACTGAGTTTTTGTTTTTACGAAAATGATAGATAAACTGGTTCTCTTTAAAAATGGGAAAAAACATTGTTTAGTTTATTATGCGAAATTTAAAGAAAATGCAATTTTAACATTTAAGATAGCAGTTACGCCCTCTGTTGGTCATTTTTAGAACTTGAAAATATTTTCCAGTGATTCTTCATGACCGATTTACTCAATAACTTTTTTACCCATGTCATATGACGAACGGTTCTCGAGATATGGCCGAGGAACAGTCTTATTGGGTCATCCGGTACATTGGAAGCGAGATTGCAAGTATCAAACAAAAAAAATGCGAATTTGTAAAAGTTTTCGTGAAAGTGTAGTTTGTCAGTAAACATAGTTTGGCTATTGCTTGGACCTCGGCTTGGACAGACTGTGAGTTCTCAATTTTTTTTCTTGAAAAAAAAACTTTAAGGAAATTAGAAACGGAAAATTAAAAAAATACATGATTTTAAAACATTTAATATATTGATAATTCACTCATTTACGTGTTTAAGGATCAGTAACATTCAAAAATTGAAAAAATTCAAGAAATCAAGCAATATAAGAAACAGGAAGAACCTTGGAAATTCAGAAGAGCTATTGCAATAATACGAAGAAAATGTAAAACATTACTTAAGCAACTGTGGACCAAATTCCAAATATTCAAAAAATTAAAATTCGTAACAATCTGGAATAATTAAAAAAACTGTAATTGTACCTGTAACTGTAAATGTAATTCATAAATATTTCAGAATCTCATGAAAAAATTCAGAAAGAAATTAAAGAAAACAGCAAATGTACACAACAATTCAAAGTTGTTTTCGTCGAATTTAACAAAAAATCAGAAAAATTCATACTTTCAAAGCGAGTTTCAAAAGATCAATGAAAATTCATAAACAAAAACTTTTAAAACATTCATTCATATTTCAATCGCTAAAAAATACATTTCAAAAATTCCAAATCACAATCAATTTAAGAGAATTCAGAAAAATAAATCATTTTGGAAAATAAGTATGGGCTCGATTCCCGTTCGACGCAGAATTTTTTATATTTTATATATTTAGCATTTCTACTTTTCGTCAGACACCACGTTGACGTAGGATGACACAGAAATTTTGAATTACAAAGAAGGCGCACAAGTCAGC